ACTTCGCCCCGTGAAGCCACGGACGTTGAGCGAGTTCGAGACTCGCGAGAGTCTGGTTGGGTGACCGTCTGGGAAACCGGGATCTAACGCCGTCGAGCCCCGGACCGAAGGGATAAAAGGCACTGACCATAATTCTGTCCCTTAATTTTTGAAAAGATTAAAACTTCTCAATCTAATTTGTATTAACTTTTACTTCTGCAATTTCTCTATTAATCGTTTTATAGACGTTATAAACAGTAAACGACGACTCTTTTGAGTCATTATGTGAATAAGGTGTTCAGTTTAATAAGAAAACGTTGTTAGTCATATTCACTTGAAAATTGGTATTTGCAACGTAACTAAAAGAATACGAACGTAATAAATTAAATGTGGTTCATTTTGTAGCATTATAGTTTTATTTTCTCCTTATTTACTCGAAGTTATTCAAATTTAGTAAGTTCGCCACAACAAATCATTTGTTGGGAAATTTCTAAGAATCTTCTGGCCGGATCCGAAAACAAATGATCAGTCCCCCTCCAGGAGACCGAGACAGGAGCGTCGAACGGCGCCTCATACGAACGTCTCGATTGGGGCACGGGAAGTGGCCTAGCCGCGAGGGACGGATCCGCGCACTCGCAGTTCCTGAAATACTGTACAGGGATTATTTTTTTCTCAAATTACAGAAAAAAATATTTTATAATACAAATTTGACGATGAGCGAAATGAAAAGTCTAAATGTGTTTTTTTTTTTAATTTGTTCGAACATTGAATGCGGTCTTTGCCTCATGGGAATCAACAAAATTCCTAGAATGCTCGAATTATGTTTTGCATATCTTCAGTGTGAACTTTCTTGTCTTTCTGTGTGAACTATCTTGTGCTTAGAAATCCACATACAAAGACAATCCTCTGCAGTTTCTTTCCTTAATATCATGACATATGTTAACAGCGTTTTGAAGCTAAAATGTCGGTTCATTAAAATCGTTTATGGGCTGCAATGTGGCACTACTCGAAAAATGAAGTTTCAAGGTAAACGCTTTAAAATTTTAGATGGCGGTTGAGCTACAGGTATTACACCCTTTTGTAACTTGTGCTTTAAGGGGTAAACATAATTAAAAGGATTCGTACGAGTTCTATTAATAACAATTATAAAATATTTTAAAATGCGTTTCATGAGTTAAAATGAGTGTCAGTATTGCTGCCCATAAAGAAAATATTGAGTTTATTGAGAATTTCTAGGCTTGGAGTCCGAATTAATGTTCCACGAATTTTATTTTGGGCAGCTCTAACGTCAGCCTGAGTAGATGACGCGATAAATGATTGCTCACGCATCAACATTTAGGTTTTCTCCTCCTCAGATACAATTCTCTCTATGAAGGTTAACCCTATGAAGGTTACCTCAAATCAAATTATTTTGGGCAACAGAGGGTATTTAATGGGTCTCCTTCAAACAACCGAGCAAATTACGTTCTTATTGCTGGGCGCTAATTCTGTGAGCTGATATGACGACCTTTTCTTCCGCCAGTAATGGATTTTCAAAGGGACTGCTTTTGCAAATCTCCCTATACGATTCTCTTTGGGACATCGACGTCGCCTCCAGTCCCCCGAAGTGAGTTCCCGCTTCTGGGCTTTGTGTTCTTCCTCCGTTCGCGAGGGAAAAGCACGCCACTCTCCGAAGCCTGGAGATAATTTGTGAAATCGTTTCTGGACGAAATGGGCGGCAGGTTGGAAAAATCGATATTTGCCTGGCGGTTTCTCTTACGTTATAGATAGACGTGTATTTAAAAGAGGGTTGACTTACGTTCATTCTGTTTCGTTTAGTGACTAAATTAATACAAGTCAGGTGTTTTGTTTTGTTTTTTCCTCTATCCCGAATTGTGTACGGATTATCCAGAATTGCGGGTTTCGAATTAGCGAGGTTCTACTGTATTCTTAAAGCTATATTTCGGTTCTACCATAATGAAATCGAAAAGATGAGAATGTTTTAAAAGAAATGTATTTTGGGAGGCGACAGATGGTAGCTGGCAAGAGGATGGGGCAAGAAAAGCTAGATCAGACCTAAGAAATTAGAAAGCTATTACAATAAATTCTGTGCCATTCTGTAGCACCACTAGTTAGGTTTAATCTCTTTAGGAAAATGAATTAGAATATTAAAACATGAAATACGTGGTCCCTTACCACCGTACAAAATTGGCACACGATACAGATTTTTATAAACTGTGGCAAATCGGTTAAAATGTGCTGTTCTGCGCAAGGAAACAACCTAAAAGCCTCTAGTTGTTGCTAGAAGAACGAATCTGGATCTAATAATGATTCAAATCAATCTCGAGAGTCTGTGCAAACAGTAGCTTAAATCTGACATGGCAGAATCTAAGCTTTCTACGGGCGACGTCAACATTGAATTTGCCACCAGCGCCGAAGCTTGTAATCTAGTTGGTATGCAATGTAGATGGTTGTGTGCACTGTCGTGTGTGAATCCCACTATGGCCATCTAGTTTTTAGCGAATTGTATCCTAGAAGGTCTCGCAAGCTTCAAATACGAGTATCCGGCGACATAATGTTAGGTTACATCCCACTGGGATGTCAATGGTCAGTCACTTCGGCAGGAAACTATCCTTAAAATTGGTTTAGTATTGACTTTCTAAGGTTCTACTCAAAATTACCAACCCTTCCTTTCCAGAACATTTTTCCACGAGGTAAAATACTTAACCATGCCAACAAGAATCCGCTCCAGATTAGCAAGAACTACACACGCCCACATTAAACTACCAACCCCATAATTCCTAACACTGTTACTCTTATACGGCTCGAGATTTTCAAAAATCTGTACTGTTGGGTGGTTGAAGAGGATTCCAGTAGGGAAATCCTCCTACTACAAAAAACTGACAACAAATTATACAACGTGTTGGTTACTTTGACTATAAATGTTCTGTAAAGTGTTTAAACCACTACATCAGAAAAAAGTATTGAACGTCTCTTTCAACTTCCTCGGTCCGGCAATCAGGTCAGGGCATCGCCAACAAAGATATTTGTGGAGAAGAAGCACCGAATGCCCCTCACGGCACCGCCGTCCGTCGCGTGTCGGACGGCGCTCTATTTCCAGCGCCGGAGTCCCAGAGTGTGTTTGCCCCCCGGCTGACGGCTTCTTCGGCCGCGCGCCCCCCCTCGCCGCACAGCCTCGGATCCTCCGGCGACTCCTACATGCGTTTTCGGGGTTTCGTCATTTGCGGACGTAGCAGATTTAAAAAATCGCTTTTAAGGAAACGAATTAGAAGAGTTTCAAAATGTAATTCATCTTCTCCACACAAAAAATATAGTGCATGAGGCAAGTGAACATAGTACTTTTAAAATAACTCTTTTGAAATGGGTCTAACAATTAAATTGCTACGAAGTTATTAATATGGTTGTTGATATATTTATATTTTTCAATTCGCTATTTTTAATTCATAATTTAGTTTTACAATATTTCATACAAATTTTGAATTAGCCACCAACTTTTATTTCGTCTTTATTGTTCTACATTCTTTCTTCTCACCAAAAACTCAGAATTATGTGATTCTTTCATGTTCTCGGATTTAAAATGTTTATGAAAGACTAGTATGAGGAAAGAGATCTGTTAGAAGAATTCTTAACTAGATTTTAAAGGTTGCATGATAAGCAAGACATGCTACCCACAAAAACATGTTATAATTGAGACGTGTATTAACATTTAATGTTGAAGTTCTACCTTTCTTTTTCCTTTATAAAGAAACTTTTTACTTTCTCGCCCTTACGAATGTAAGAAGACAAAGTATTGTAATCTTGCGCCGGAAAACGGCGAATTTTGAGATATAAACTCTTATTGTCGGCCCTTGGTTCGACAAAATGGATTAATCCTGTTCCTAAATATAGTAAACTAGCAAAACGCCTTCTTTCTCACACATCTCTCTCTGTCTCCGTCGCCCCATCTCCCAGTCTTTGTGACTCAGTCTCTATCCCTCTCTGTATATCTCTGTACCTGTCTCCCTGTCTCTGCGTGTCTGTCTCTCCCCCTCCCTCTCCCTGTCTGTCTGTCTGTCTCTCTCTCTCTCTCTCCCTCTCTCCCTCTCTCCCTCTCTCCCTCTCTCCCTCTCTCC